GCTTTTCTCTTGCTGCTTTTAAGATTCTCTCTTTGTCTTGAACCTTTTGCATTTTGTTGGTGATGTGTCTTGGTGTGGGCCTCTTGGGGTTCATCTTGTTTGGGACTCTCTGTGCTTCTTAGACTTGAATGTCTGTTTCCTTCACCAAGTTAGGGAAGTTTTCTGCCATTATTGTTTCAAATAGGTTTTTGATTTCTTGCTTTCTCTCTTCTCCTCCTGGCACCCCCAAGATGCAAATGTTGGCATGCTTGAAGCTTTTTCAGAGGCTCCTTACAGTATCCTCATTTTTTTTTTATTCTTTTTTCTATCTGCTGTTCTGATTGGGTGTTTTTTTCTTCCTTATATTCCAAATCGACGGTTTGCTTCTTGGCTTTACCTAGTCTACTATTGAATCTGTGTACATTATTCTTTATTTCAGTTAGTGCCTCCTTCAATTCTGACTGGTCCTTTTTTATGCTCTTGAGGCCCTCACTAAGTTTGCTGAGGTTCTCACTAAGTTCATTGAGCATCCTTATAAGCAGTGTTTTAAACTCAGCATCTGTTAGGATGCTTATCTCCATTTTACTTAGTTCTTTTCCTGCGGTTTTGTTCTGTTCTTTGATTTGGGACCTGTTTCTTTGTCTCCTCATTTTCAGAAAACCTGAAGCAGGACCCAAGACAGGCCAATCATATGGTAAAGCAACTGGCAACAGCTTGAGTGGGCCTGAAAGTTGGGTGGGTGTAGCCTCAGGGAATCACCAGGGTGGAGCAACCAGTGTGAGCCAGGTTGCTGGAGTCCCAGATATGGCAGCTGTCTGCTGCCTCAGGGAAGGTTTCACCAAAGGAACAAAGGCCCCTGACAGCGTGTCTGTCCCAGAGAAAGCACCCTCTGCAGCCCTCGCTCCAATGCCAAACAGCTCAGTTCTTTTCTGTATGTCTCTGGCGCCCATTGAGCTGCCTTCCCTTTAAGATTAGAGGGAGTGAGTCTGATAAGTCTGTGCACGGGCTCTTTAAGGGAGCTGCCTGGGGTACCTCAGCCTCCCTCTGCCTCAATTCCCGCTGGTTTTTCCAGCCAGAGGTTAGGGGGACTTCTCTTCCTGGCACTGCAACCCTGGGTGGGGCACCTGGTGTGGGACAGAAACCCCTCAGTCCTCAGGGAGGACATTCCCAGCAGAGGTGTCCTCCTAATTTTTATCTGACACACATGGGTGTGGGACCAGCCCGTCTGCCTCCACTCCTCCTACCAGTCTCGATGTGGCTGTTTCTTTAATTCCATAGTTGTAGGACTTCCATTCAGCTTGATTTCAGGCAGTTTCAAATGATGGTTGTTCTGTAGTTTAGTTGTAACTTTGATGTGGTTGTGGTAGGACGTGATACCGCATTTACCTACACTGCCATCTTGACCTGGAGTCTCGAAAATTTGTTTTTTTTTTCTTCATATATAAGCACCTAAAAAATACCTTTGATTTGTGTCTTGGCCTGCAAAACTTAAAATATTTACTATTTGCAGAACTCTCATTTACACCATAAAGACACTTATTGTTTATTTAAGAGTTCCAAATGTAGATGATTCTAGGGTTAGTTCAGCAACTCAGTGAGAGCATCAAGGACATAATCCATAATCTTTTTCTATTTTTTTGCTCCACCGTTTGTAACATGTGGTTTTTGTATTGTTGTTTGATCTTCTCATGGTCACAAAATGACTGTTGCAGCTCCAAGCTTCGCAGCTGATAAAGAGAAAGAAGTTTAGACTGTGCATTTAGAGATGAGATATCTCAGCCAGTGTGGAGTAGATTCTGACACCCAAAGACCAGGATTAGACTATTGCACAATACTGCCAAGGCCAGAATAGACGAGCTAGAAACTGAGAGGTAGATAAGATCTCCCCCATTTATTGGTGAAGCACAGCATAATCCAAAGGCTTAGAATTAATACTAGTGAAAAATATAGGGTGGATGACATGATATTGTATATAGAGAACCCTAAATATTCCACCAAAAAACTATTAGAATAAATGAATTCAGTAAAGTAGTAGGATATATAACAAATATTCAGAAATCAGTTGCATTTTAAACACCAATAATGAATTGTCAGAAAGGGAACTAAGAAAAGAATCCCATATACAGTTGCTTCAAAAATACACCTGGGAATAAATTTTTTTTTTTAATCCTCACTCACGGATATTTTTTCATTGATTTTTTTTTTAGATGGAGTAGAAGGGAGAGAGAGAGAAATATTGATGTGAGAGAGACACATCAATTGGCTGCCTCCCACACAACACTGACTAGTGCCAGGGATCAAACCCACAACCGAGGTACATGCCCTTGACCAGGAATCACACCCCTGACTCTTTGGTCCTTAGGCCAATGCTCTAACTGCTGAGCAATGCTGACCAGGGTGAATAAATTTAAACTAGGAGGTAAAAGATCTGTACTCAGAAGATTGTAAGACACTGAAGAAATTGAAGAAGATACAAAATAATGGAAACCTTGCTCATGGATAGAAAAAATTAACATCATGGAAATGTTCATACTACCCTCTATAGATTTGATGCAGTTCCTATGAAAATATTAATGATTTTTTTACATAGAAATAGGACAAGTAATCCTAAAAGTTATATAGAACCACAAAAGACACCAAATAGCCACAGCAATCTTGAGATAAAAGATCAAAGTTGGAGGTATCATGCTATCTGACATCAAAATATACTACAAGACTATAATAATAAAAACAGCATAGCAGGGTGTAAAAACAGACACATAGATCAATGGAACAGAATAGAGAGCTCAGAAAAAAACCCACACCTATATGGTCAATTAATATATGACAAAAGAGGCAAGAACATACATTGGGGTAAAGACAGTCTATTCAATAAATGGTGTTAAAAAAATTGGATACATGCAAAAAATAAATAAATAAAACTAAGCCATCTTCTTATGCCATACACAAGATTAAACATAAATAGATTTAAAAGTTAGATGTAAGACTTGAAACCATAAAACTCCTAGAAGAAAACATAGGCAGTAAACTCTCTGACATTTCTCTTAGCAATATGTTTTTGATACATATCCTTGGGCAGAAAAAAGAAATACACAAATGGGACTACACCAAACTAAAATTTTCTTGCACAGCAAAGGAAACCAACAAAACAAAACCAAAAATCAGCTTACTGAATGGGAGAATAAATTCACCAATTATGCATCCAATAATATCCAAAATGTATACAGAACTCATACAACTCAACACAAAAATAACAATCCAATTTAAAAGTGGGCAAAGGACCTGAATAGACACCTCCAAAGAGGACACACAGATGGCCAATAGACACATGAAGAGATATCAAGGTCACTAATCATCAGAGAGATGCAAATTAAAACAACAATGAGATATTACCTCACACTTGTCAGAATGGCTATCATTAATAAATCCACAAATAACAAGTGTTGGTGAGAATATGCAGAAAACGGAACCCTTGTGTATTGTTAGTAGGAATGCAAAGTAGTGCAACCACTATGGGAAACAGTATGGAGTTTGTTCAATAAGTTAAAAATGGAACTGCCTTGTGACCTAGCAATTCCACTTCTGGGTATATATCTGAAGAAACTCAAAAGAGTTTCAAAACTAATTTGAAAGAATATGTGCATCCCTATTTTCATTGCAGTGTTACTTACAATAGCCAAGATATGAAAGCACCCCAGGTACTCATCAATAGACAAGTGGATATAAAAGCGGTGGTACTTATATACAGTGAAATATTACTTGGCCATAAAAAAAATAAAATCTTACCATTTGTGACAATATGGATGGACCTAAAGGGTGTTATGCTCAGTGAAATAAGTTAGACAGAGAAAGAAAAATACCATATGATATCACTAAAGAGTAAATTAAACAAACAAAATAGAAACAGATTCATAGATACAGAGAACAGACTGATGGTTTCCAGAAAGTTGGGGAACTAATTGAAAAAAATAAAAGTGAGGCAAGAAAGTTAGAATAGGGAACAAAGGCCTCAAGCTCTATCCCTCCTTTTCCATCTTGGCTGAAACATCACAAACATGACCTTCACTGACCACCTGTTTCCCACTTCATGGTCTGTAATTGAGAGGACCAAAAAAAGAAATTGCTATCTGGAGAGGAGGAGCAAGAATGAGCAGTCACCTCATCAGCATCAGAAGGTGAAGACTACCCTATTCCCCTGACCCCACCTTAACCATGTTTAATAAAAATCTTTCACCCAGACAGCATTGGTGTGTCTCATTTTCTAAGGTTGCCCTCTCTCACTTCTTGAGTGTACACTATCACTTTAATAAATTTCCCATGCTTGCCTAAATCTTCCATGCTGTCTAATTTCTTCTTGGGTCATGACAAGAACCTGCATCAGGTTGAGGCCTCCCTTGGCTTCCCTGGGTGCCACCCAGCATCAAAGAAATAAGAATTACAGATCAATAGTCACAAAATCCCAGGATTGTAAGGTGCAGCATGGGGAATGTAGTCAGTAATATCGTGATAACTATGTGCTGTGCCAGGTGGGTACTTAAAAATATCAGAGAAAACACTCTGTAAAATATGACTGTCTTCCTACTATATGGGACACCTGAAACTAATACAAAATAATGTTGACTATAAGCTATAATTGAAACATACAATTTTAAAAGGGGGGGGGGGACAAATGCTGAATATGACCAAATTAATTTGGATGTCACTAGATATTAATCTGGATGTGACAGAAATTAAGTTGTTAAAGATAATAAAGTCAGCTGCATGAGGGCAGATATCTTGTCTGCCTTGTTCACTACTATAGCAGACACTTCCAGTTGCCAACTCAAAATGTTTTCTTTCTTCCTTCTTCCCTCTCTGTATACCATGTTTTATCTTTTCCTCCCTCTCTCGTCCTTTTTTTTCCCTAACAGACCCCAAAGTATGCTGGGAGTGGCAATATGCCTGGTTAAAATACATATTTAACTACTTTTGTTTGCAGGCAGAGGTGGCCATGTGATGAGATGTAAACAGAAGTAGCCGGGTAGAGCTTTGAAATATGTTCTTTTGTTGTTGTTATCCTTGTACCAAGGCCATGCTAATCTTCCCTGTGTCATTACAATTTTAGTATATGTGCTGCCCAAGCAAGCACTGGGAAATGTTCTTTAAAAGAAACAAACTTCTGATTTGCTCCCTTTGGCTTTTTGCCCTCTGTCCCTTTTCCTCCCTGGAATGTGGACCTGTTTCTGGAGCTGCAGACACCATCAGGCAGCCATAGTTGTAACAGCTGCTCTCTGTCAGCAGCACAGCAGAGCAGTTGCAGAAGGAACCTGGACTTTGGTGAATTCCTTGAGCAGCTGCATGAGCGCTAGACGGGGGAACTTCTTTTATGTGAGAAAAAGAGATCCCTTCCCCACCCTACCCCACATTTGGTTAAACTGTTTTATTTAAATTTTCTGTTTCATCAGCTGAACAGTTTTTTTAAAAATTTTTTTATAATGTTTATTTATTTATTTTTGTTACAGATATTTCTCCTTTTTTCTCCCATTGACACCCTCCACCCAACCCAGCATTATTGTCTATGCTATAAGTTATGTGGTTTATCACTTCCCTCCCCCTACGTCCACCTCTTCTGAGGTTTGTCAGTCTGTACCCCACTTCCATGCCTCTGGGTCTATTTTGTTCCTCAGCTTGTTTTGTTCATTATATTCCACAAATAAGTGAGATCATGTGATATTTGTCTTTCTCTGATTGGCTTGTTTTGCTTAGGATAACACTCTCCAGGTCTCTCCATGTCATCTCAAAAAATAAGAGATCTTGCTTTCTTTCAGCTGCATAGTATTTTATTGTGTATATGTACCACAGCTTTTTTATCCACTCATCTATTGATGGACACTTGGGCTGTTTCTAGATCTTAGCCATTGGAAATAGTGCTGCTATGAACATAGGGGTACATATATTCATTCTGAGTGGTGTTTCAGGTTTCTTAGGGTATATACTTAGAAGTGGTATCTCTGGATCAAATGGAAGTTCAATTTTTAATTTTTTGAGGAAACACCATATTGTTGTTCATAGTGATTGCACTAGTCTGCATTCCCACCAGCAGTGTACTAGCGTCCTCTTTTCTCCATATCCTCGCCAGCACTTGTTGTTTGATGATGTGTTGATGGCAGCCATTCTGACAGGTGTGAAGTGATACCTCATTGATGTTTTTGCAGAAGCTTTTTAGTTTGACGTAATCCCATATGTTCATTTTTTCCCTGTTTCTATTGCCTTAGGCATAGTATCAGTGAAAATTCTGCTGCATGTGATGTCTGAAATTTTCTTGGCTGCATTTTCTTCTAGAATTTTATCGATTTTAAGTTTATTCTTGTGTGTGGTGTAAGTTGATGGTCTAGTTTCATTTTTTTTGCATGTAGCCATCCAATTTTTCCAGCACCATTTATTGAAGAGGCTGTCTTTACTCCACTGTATGCTCTTGACCCATTTGTCAAATATTAATTGAGCATAATGACTTGAGTCAACTTCTGGGATCTCTGTTCTGTTACATTGATCTACATGCCAGTACCAGGCTGTTTTGATTACTATGGCTTTGTAGTATAACCTCATATCTGGTATTGTGATCCCTCCCACTTTGTCCTTCTTTTTCAAGATTCCTGTAGCTATTCCAGGTCTTTTTGGTTCCATGTTAACTTTAGAGTATTGGTTCTAGTTCTGTAAAATATGTCATTAGTATTTTGATAGGGATTGCATACAATCTATAGATTGCTTTGTACAGTATGGACATTTTAATGATGTTAATTCTTTCAAGCCATGAACAAGGTGTATGCTTCCACTTTTTTATATCTTTCTAGATTTTTTTTTTTTTTCAGTGACCTGTAGTTTTCTGCGAATAGGTCCTTTACTTCTTTGGTTAAGTTTATTCCTAGGTATCTTAATTTTTATGCTGCAGTGGTAAATGGGATTGTTTTTTAAGTTTCTCTTTCAGTGAGTTTATTGTTGGTGTAAAAGAAGGCCATTGATTTCTTGACATTAATTTTGTATCCTGCTACTTTGTCAAATTCATTTATTAAATCTAGTAGATTTTTGAGAAAGCTTTTAGGGTTTTTTTATGTACAATATCATGTAATCTGCAAATAATGACAGTTTCACTTCCTCCTTTCCAATTTGGATTTCTTTTATGTTGTCTCCATGTCTAACAGCTATTGCTAAGACTTCCAGAACTATGTTAAGAGTGGTGAGAGTGGGCATCCCTGTCTGGTTCTTGTTCTTAAGGGAAATGCTTTTAGTTTTTGCCCATTGAATATGATGTTGGCTCTAGGTTTTTTATATATTGTCTTTCTTTATTATGTCAAGATATGATCCCTCTAGTCCCACATTGCTGAGCGTTTTTATGAGAAATGGGTGCCAGATTTTGTCAATTCTTTGTCCACAACTAATGATATGATCATATGGTTTTTATTTTTCACTTAGTTTATGTGGTGTATCACATTTATTGATTTTCAGATATTGTACCATCCTTGCATCCCTGGGATGAATCCCACTTGGTCATGATGAATAGTTTTTTTAATGCATTGCTGGATCCGATTTGCTAATATTTTGTTAAGGATTTTAGCATCTGTGTTCAGCAGGGATATTGGCCTGTAGTTTTCTTTCTTTGTAGTGTCTTTATCTGGTTTTGCATTTAGGTTTATGTTGGCCTCATAAAATTAGTTTGAGAGTCTTACATCTTTGTAGATTTGTTTGAATAGTTTGAGGACAATAGGTGTTAGATCTTTTTTGAGTGTTCAGTAAAACTCCCTCGTGAAGCCATCCAGGCCTGGGCTTTTGTTTGTGGGGGGGGGTTTCTTGATTACATCTTCAATTTCCTTAGTTGTTATTGGTCTGTTCAAGTTTTCTATCTCTTCCCAGTTTACTTTTGGGAGAATGTGCATTTCTAGAAATTTGTTCATTTTGCTTAGATTGTCCAATTTGTTGGCATATAATTGTTCATAGTGTGTGGGTTTTTTATTATTTTATTATTTTTTTTTTAAAATGTTCCCCCACTACCACAAATTGTACAGTCGAGTTTTACACATTTGGGGAAACCGCAGGGGTCAGCACATCCGGAGTGTAATGGATAAACCTTCCCCTGGGAAAACCACCTTCGTGATCATGGTATCTCTCCTGTCAGGTAAGTGCATAGTGTGTTTTAATGGTCCTTTGTATTTCTGTGGTGTTACTTCTCCTCTTCATTTCTGATTTTGTTTATTTGGGTCTTCTCTTTTTATTTCTTCAGGAGTCTGGCTAAGGATTCATCAATCTTGTTTATTTTTCAAAGAACCAGCTCTTTGTTTCACTGATTTTTTTAACTGTTTATTTTTATTTTTTTTAGTTTTTATGTCATTTATTTCTGCTCTGACCTTCACTGTTTCTTTCCTTCCACTTGATCTCAGTTTTTTTATTTGTTTACTTTCTAGTTCTTTGAGTTGTAAAGTCAATTAGTAATTTTTTTTGTTTCTTGAGGTAGGCCTGTAGTGCTATAAACTTTTCCTGAACTGTTTTATCTACATCCCATAGATTTTGTGTTGTTGTGTGTTCACTTTCATTGGTTTCCAGAAAGTGTTTAATTTCTCCCTTGGTCTCCTTGGTAACCCATTCATTGTTTAATAACATGCTATTTAGCTTCCATGTGTATGAATGTTTTTGTTGTAATTAATTTCCAGGTTCATGCCATTGTGTTTTGAGAAGATGCTTGATATGATTTTAATCTTCTTGAGCTTGTAGAGACTTAGTATGTGTCCTAACATGTGGTCTATCTTTGAGAATGTCTTATGTGCACTTGAGAAGAATGTATATTCTGCAGCTTTGGGGTAAAATGTTCTGTAAATATCAATTAAGTCCAGTTGATCTAGTTGGTCTTTTAAAGACTGTGTGTCCTTGTTAATTTTCTGTCTAGAAAATCTATCCAATGGTGTCAGTGGGGTGTTAAAGTCACCCACTATTATTGTATTGCTATTGATCTCTTCTTTGTATCCTCCAGATGTTTTTAAATATATTTTGGTGCTCCTGTGTTTGGTGCATATATGTTTATTAGAGTTATATCCTCTTGTTGAATTGTTCCTTTTAATATTATGTAGTGACCTTCTTAGTCTCTTAATATGGCCCTCATTTTGAAGTCTATCTTATCAGATATAAGCATTGCTACATCAGCTTTCTTTTTTCTTATTTCCATTTTCCTGGAAAATTTTTCATCCCTTCACTTTTATTCTGTGTGAGTTTTTTGTTGTGAGGTGGGTCTCTCGAAGACAGCATATATATAGGTCATATTTTCTTATCCAATCAGCTACCCTATGTCTTTTGATTGGGGCATTTATATTTAAGGTATATTGATAGATGTTAGTTGCCATTTTTATTTTATGCCTGTTTTTTTCTTTCTCTCTCTCTCTCTCCCTCTCTCCTCTTCCTCCCCCTCCTCCTCCCCCTCCTCCTTCTTCTTCTTCCAGAAGTCCCTTTAACATCTCTTGCAGTGCTGGTTTGGGGTGGTAAATTCCTTTAGCTTTCTTTTTTTTTTTTTTTTTTTGTCTGTGAAGCTCTTTATTTCACCTTCAATTTTGGATGATAGTCTTGAGAGATAGAGTACTTTCAGATTCAGATCCTTGTATTTCATTACTTTGTACACTTCTTGCCACTCTCCTCCTGTTTTGTAATTTTTCCTCCATTTTCTGCTCTATCTGAGCATTTTTTTCTACCTTGTCTTCTAACTCACTGATTCAGTCTTTAGCTTCTTCTAATCTTCTATTGAATTTCTCTAAGGTATTTTTCATATCAGCTATGTCATTCTTTATTTCCTCTTGATTTTTTTTTCTCTTTTTTTTTTATCCTCACCCGAGGACATTTTTCCATTTTTTGTACAGATAGAGCGGGAGGGAGAGAGAGGAAGGGAGAGAGAGAGAGAAACATTGATGTGAAGGGACACATCAAGTGGCTGCCACCCGCACGACCAACCAGGGCCGGGGACAAACTGCAACCGAAGTACGTGCCCTTAGCGGGAACTGAACCCGGGTCTCTGCGGACCACAGGCTGACGCTCTAACCGCTGAGCCAAACTGGCCAGGGCTATTTCCTCTTGATTTTTATTCACAGCTTCTACCTCTTTTTCTAAGCTGATGTA